TGATCAGATGGATTTGCAGTTCCTCGAGCAGTGAGGTGCCTGCTGACCAAAATATGTGGTCAGCAAAGCATGTGAGTAATTCCTCCACAGGCTCACTGAAGCCAGCCAAGTCAATCCTGTGGTGTCACCACTTTTGTTGCTACTCTGTTAGAAAATACGGGTTGGAGAAAAACACTGTGCTTGAGCTTCTGGGAGTTGGTATTTCCCCCCAGAGCCCTTCACCAGCCTGCCTTGCAAATACCTGTGTACAGGTCCCACACAACTTTTGCCACAGTTCTTGCTGTGCAAAACAAACTCCTGTTGCCCTCCCTCCCTTGCTCTGCTCTCCAATCAAATCCCACTTCCTGCCTTCTTACTTAAAATCGGGGTCACTTTGCTCATTTCCCAATATTGACATTGCAGAGGGGGGTTTGTAAATCCCATCACTGCCACCAAAATGACTCAAAAAAAAAGCCAAGGAGAAAGGATCTTTGGTTTGTGATTTTCCCTTCAGAAATTCAGGTGGGATGAGCTGCCAGGCTCATCTCTGAATGCAGCACTTGTGCAAACAGGGCTCTACTGGAAGGCAAAGAAGGACAGAAACAAGAGATCTAAAGGCTCCAGTCTGTATGCGCTCGGGCTCCTTCCCTTTGCACTATCAGGGTGCCTTGCATTAAAAGGAACCTCACGGTTTAAAGGTCATGTCAGTCTGCAGCTGGCTATGAAAGGCTCACCATGAAAATGCTTCACCAGTGAGTGAGTGGCTGGGTGGAGATGGCCTATGCACAGCCCCTGTGCTGCTATTGTCTGGCATTTTGTCTGAATGGGTTTGGAAGCCTCTTCCATGAAGAGCTGATCTTTTCTCCTCCTCTGCTACTTACTTCTCCCACTTTCATGTTTTGTACTTCGAAGCTGTGCTGCTTTTCTAGCCAGGGTCAGAACAAGGTCACGACTTGTGACATGAGGTTAATGTAGCTGTTAAGTAACAACATGAGTCTTTTCAATGGCATGAATATTCCACCCCACCCTCTCCCAGACACACACACGTTTTCTGTCTCCCAGCTGAAGCCTCAGTTGAATAAAAAGGGGATCATGAGAGGCTCTTGGACAATATCCAGAGCAGTTATACATATTTCAATTAACAGCATCAAAATAAGCTATTTAATACATAGCACTGAAAGGTTTCCAATCACTTTAAAAAGTTGGGCAAATACTGGGACTGCCTTTTGATAGCTGGAAATGAATGATAAATATTGATGTAGTGTTGACACTGCATTGTGCACAGGAACAGAAAAGAGCGGGTTGATCCAAAGCTTTACATGTGCTGAGCAGCTGCAGTCTTCATTTACTTTAAGGGTGGCTGCAGATGCTGAGGAAACAGTTTAGGTGATCTGGATGAGATTTTAGGAGATGGAAATGGGAAAATCATGGAATTGTATTTCAAGTTTGCAAATCTTTGCAGTCAGGCACTTTGAAGTGAGGGCTGTCTTTGGGAGGATGGGAAGGAAGAGGGAGATGAAAGGAGGTTTTAGAAAGTGTCAAGCCAAGATGCACCAAATTTTCTTCCTACCCTCTCCTGACAAACCACTAACAAAGGCATTACTGGACCAATATCTTAACAGACATTTCCCATGTCTATTTTCTGTACTTCACATGAACATACTCCATGTAGTCTGTAATTGTCCAACATAAATGACAGCAGGATACTGGGTCAGATATTAGCATCATAATGTGTTACAAGGCCCCTGTTTGATAACCACATGCAAGTGTGAAAGGGGCCATAGTTAGGGCTGGAGAAGAGAAATCCTACCAACTGTCTGCTTTGCTAATGACACAGCTTTGTCTGTGTCTCTGAATTCTGAGGGGGTCTCAGAATAGTTATTTACCTCCCTCCCTTAATCTGATGGCAACCTTTTGATCTCAGCTGGATCTGACCACTCAGTTTACAAAGTACAATTAAAGACAGATAAAACCTCTTGAAAACAAATCTTTCAAATCAGAAGACCCTAGTAAAGAAGTCCAATGATCTTAAAGTCAAAACTCTGCAACTTCAATGACTAAGAGTTTGAATCTAAGATTGCTCCTGAAAGAAGAAAGGGGCTGAAGCTAGCTATGCCTCATGGCTGTAAGTATGAATCAAAACAGCAAGGCAAAGCAAACCAACAGTACAGGTTCCTTTCAAGAAAGAAGAACAAAAATCCAGATATCTTAATTTAACAGACTTTATCTGCAGTAGTCACACAGCTTCAGACTTGCAAACTCTCATTCCTCGGTCTGATTTGTAAACCACCAGGTATTTCACAGCTACTTTTCAGTTTGACAGAGCTATCAGGAAAAGAAAGCAGATCTCGTTTCTCCAGAGAGGTAGATGTCAAAGCTTTTTCAAATGGTTATTATCATCAGAATTGGGAATACAACGCAATTTTGGGCTGTAGTATAAACTGCAAAGCAATGGTTTCATGTTCATAGCAAATACTACACAGCAGAAGCACAGACATGAGGGAAGTCCCTCTGGAGGGTGCTGTACTCAAGAAGAGCTGTTTCATAAGGTGCCACATCTAAGGAGGGCCATGTTAGTTACCAGAGATTCTCTAGGTGTCAAGGACAGGAAAAGAAATCAAGCTGTTGTCTTTCTCTTCAGTGACCCAGCTGGTGGTTGCAGTGGTGAAGCTATGGAATGAGTTGCAAAGGACCTACCAGCACCTACCAGGCACTGCCTTCTTTTTGTTTCAGAACTCTAAAGGACTATTTGAAACACAGAAAATAAATACATTCATTTACTCTTTTGTGTACAGCCCAAAGTGTTATTTCAGAATCTCTGCTGTGTTGCTTGCTCAGTGATAGCTTTATTGTTCTAGATGTGTGTGATGTTTTACAGAAACCAGGGGTACCAGACTTTGCTTTAGGCAATTGTCACTAAAGTAGCTTTAAAAGCAACTGTCATGGTTTTATGTGGGTTTCTATGAACTTACAACAGCTGTCCAGTTATAAAGCAGCCTACAAAACATCTGTGAGAGGCCCCAGAAGGGGGCAGTTGGTTCCTATATGCCAGAGATGCATAGACAGGAGGAGTTAAATACAGCAGGACAATTAGGGCCCGAGGGAACCTGGGTTTTTCTTTCATAAAGATGTAGTGAACTGTTTATGAGAGGGAATGGTCAGAACCAGATACGGGGCAAACTGCAGCCAGCACCATCTCTGCTTCCTCCCTTGCCCTGCAGGGGATTTCTAAACTTGACTTGCAGCTACTCCTTGCTTCCAGCCATGCTATCTTGCCATTGTATTCAAGAGTCACCAAAGGGCTCAGATCCCATGGTTTCCCTTCTGAATTCCAGCTAAGAGTGGCGGAACAGGGCCTGGGTCCACCAGCCAAATAGTACCTCCAGCCCATGAGAAGTTTTTCTTCCCGTCTTTTCACCAGAAGAACATTTCTTTTTTGCTATTTACTTCCTTGGTAGAAAATAAGACAATGATGACACAGCCCCTTCTATTTCTGTTGCCAGATTCCTCCTCAAGGCTCCCACCACTGATCTGTGATTCCTGCAGACTGTCAGCATCGTATGTAACATGCATCAAGTGTATCAGCACTTATAACCAAGTGATCACATGTTTAGTCTAAATGCTGATTGTTGGGGAAAATATTTATGTCAAGGATCTAAAGACCAAGCAGGGAAAGAAATTACTTACAATGACCTGTGTGTGTCACACTGTGATGGGAAAAAAAATGCATATTTAGAATAGTAAAACTTATGTAAATTTCTAAAGTACAAAACTGCCTCTGATGGAATACCTACCCCTAACAGTGCTCTGCAGGTATTTTGAATGGCATCTTTTCTAATGTAGTAAGGCACCACCAGACTTTCAACTAATGCAAAAAATACTTTATAAATATCTAATGAGGAGAAATGAAGAAAGAAAATAGATTTTAATCGCGAATACTTTAAATAAAGACAAAATTTTGTTACTGAAATGAATTCCCAAAATTAATATCTGGGGATAAGTGTAAGTGGGTCATGTGCTGTGCATTGATACAGCCACACTGGAGAGTTAGAGGACAGAGCCTACTTACAGAGACATGCCAGCAGAGGGTACTCATACTTTGAACATCCCAGCGCTGGGGTGCACTGCAATGCTCTTGAGGGCTGGAGGACAGTAGGGGACCTTCAGGAGTAAGCAAAGTACCAAAGTGAATGAAAAAATGTCCCTAGCTGCTTACCACTCACCTCTCACTAAAGACTTCATAGGAGCAGCTGTGAGTAATGTAGCAAGAAATAGAACATAAATCAAACTTTGAGACTGTTGCTGAAGACAATGATTTATAGGTAGCTTCCAAAAGCTGAGAAGCAGAAGGTCAGAACTATTACAAAACAGCTAGATGGATGAAACTATCATAAATGTATTTGTCACAGCTTTGCAGCTAAAATGTTATACCTAAGGGAATACAACTCTAAATGTAATTAATATAATCAGTATGTACATACTCATACCAATACAGGATTGGAAAATAACAGAGCAAAAGCATGTTTAACCTCTTCATGCCTTAACTGATACAAAAAAAAAACCCACAAATCTCTTTGCTGAAGCAGTGACACCACTACAAAACCTGGGTTTGAGCAGGGCTCATTCTCCCCAAGACCCTACCTTCTACCACATGGGTGGATGAAGAGCTAGGAGTAGGCAGGATATTCAGCAAATAACAACTCCAAAAGGCAGCCATTCCACAGGGAAAAGGGAAATTAAGCTCTGCGATTTTTTTGTTATAAAGGCAGCTTGAGAGCAGAGAGCAATAGGAGAAGTTTATGTTTCAACTATCACATATTCTATGTCTTTAAGATGACCTTGGACTTTAGGTGCCATATTTAGAGTAACCTCATCTTAATTTGTTGTAGTCTGACTGCACATTGTAAGAGCTCACAGGCTCTTCTAATTTAGCTTGGTGTCATATAAGGACAGGTATCTAACCTGCTCCTTAACTTACTGCCCAGACTGATTTGCAATGTTGTTTTAGGCAGAGAACACACCTGTTGCAGAGGTACTGCTGTATTGAACAATTGGCAAAATCTAATTTAAGAGTAGCAGAACTGGAAAGTAGTAGCACTGGAAAGAAGAGCAGGGAAGTATGTTAGTACCAGCATTTTGGTTTGTGCATGCACCAATAAGCATAATTAATACAGCTGTCCCTTTTTTGATCTTATTATTACCTTATTTAAACCACAGCACTACTTGGATTCCTCCTCCCCACCTTTGTTTCTGCTTTGGATTGCTTTATGCGAAGTTACATAGAAGCAACATCTAGATACCAATAACTCCTAGAAAAAAGGAGTTTCCTTATGATGTATTTAAGAGGTAGCCTTTTAAGAACTGAAATGTCATAACCAGTACTTAATAATACAAAATTACTGAATACCAAGTTGCTTTTTACCCCATTTTGAGCCCTAAGCACCAAATTAACTGCTACTGTAACATCACTACTGCAACTTAGAGTCATATCAGAGATAAATATAGCATGCCTCAGTTTGACTTGGGGCCTTATCTGGCAAACCCTTCAAAAACTTCCACACAGAAGCCTTCCTCTCCCCAGCATCAAATGAAAGGATTTGGGAAGTTGTCTTTTCTGTAGAAAACAAGCCAGCTGCTGGACCATGTTTCACAATTATCAGAAGTATAAAGAAATGTACAAGCTGATGTAAGTAAAAATAAGAGCAGCCCCTTGAGTTCTATTAAACACAGACTTGCTTTGTAGTGCTGTAGTGACTAAACTTCTGCATGCCTCAGTTTCTAAATCTGTACTATGAGTTGTAAAGTGGGAGACTACCAGGAGGCAAATCTGCAAATTAATATCTGCAAACTGCTTTTTGATGATTAGGTAAAAAGAAATTAAGAAAGGCTGAGTGTTATGAGTAAAGAAGGTGAGCTTGCAAGTGGACTCAGCAGAGGGGAACTGCCATGGAAGATGAAGAATGTGGTTAGACCAGAAATCAAAAGATGCCATGAAAGCTGCAAAACTGAGAGAAAAGCATCTTCAACCACAGGAGGGGACTGCTGCATCCATGAGGTGGAGCAGCCAAGCTCAAAATACTGTTTCTGGTAATTCATGTTTTGAGATATATTTCAGTCCTACAGTTGAAGAAATTCTTCTTAACTAGCTAAACCCTAATGTACAGATAAATAATTTACATAGAATGGGGTTTGAGTTGGAAAGGACCATAAGATCATCCCGTTCCAACCCCCTGCCACAGGCAGGGACACCTACCACTAGAGCAGGTTGCTCAAAGCCCCCTCCAACCTGGCCTTGAACACTGCCAGGGATGGGGCAGCCACAGCTTCTCCGGGCACACTGTGCCAGCGCCTCAGCACCCTCACAGGGAAGGTTTTCTTCCTTATTGCAAACCTAAATCTCCCCTGTTTAAATTTGAACCCATTAGCCCTTGTCCTATCACTACAGTCCCTGATGAAGAGTCCCTCGCTCAAGCAGGGATGCAGCATTTATGGTTTGATTGGTTTGGTTTTAATACAAAGATCATTACTCTGACCATTGAATCTTCTGGGAAAAAAAAGTAGAAAGAATAGTTCTAGACGTGAGTGCTGATTTCTGGTCATGACAGTTGAATAGATTTAATATCAATTTCCTTTATGTCAGAAAACACACTAGGATATATATGAGATTATATTCTCAGAGCAGGTGGTTCTTAAATACATCTTTTCTGAGAAGGACCAACAGTGCAGCTATTGCATTTCTTCCAAATTCAGAGCAGGGCTTCCTATTTCAACCAAAAGAAAATATTAAAATGGCTATGACCAAAAGATCCATTTTAATTAGAGTGCAAGATATGTACTTAAATGAATATTATATGATAGGCCTGTGTTCCATTTCACCTGATGTCTCCTGAGTTTTATTAAAAATATTATTAAAGATACTTCTTGAATACAAGCAGCAAGTTTTGTCTGTCTGTATGCACTAACAAATCTAATTCAGAAGAGAAGGACTGGTATCATCCACTGGCATGGAGTAGCTTCATATCAAAGTCAGATTCTTTCACTTTCCTGGTAAAATTATTTCTGCTTCTTTCAGTATTCTGAAGCTCATGCAAGTATGGATGCCTGAGCTGGAGGGAGTCATGCCTTACCCACAACTCCTTTACTATGTTCACACTCCAGGGTCTTAGCAACTTAAGCCAATTTTTTACAGTTTAAACCCCCTTAGTAATGCTTTTGCTAATGTTCTGTGGAAGACATGTGTTCTCTTATGTTAACTCACCACTGGAATGTGTTTAACAAGGTCCTTCTTCCTAAGTCATGCATAGCTTAAATTCAAGGCAGGCTGCTAAAACTGGTCAGAACAGTCTCTCAGGGCTGCTTACATTGTTTGACAAGACCAGCCTATAAATACAGGTAAATATTTTTGTGTAGAGAAACACAAAAAGGTTGGGGTTTATAGACAATGTGACTTGAGTGTTCAGGAAGAGAATTGGCTGGAAGAGAATTAGTATTGCAATGGTCTGTGTTGAATGGAGGTACCTTTGTTTAACTGGACTTAGCACCATCTCCTGTATCAGAATTCAGCTTAATGGTGAAGCACAACAGAGGACTTTAATTACTGCAAAGATTCATAGCTATGGTCAAGAAACTCATTTACTGGTCCATTAAAACTCTCCAAAAATCTGAGGCATCTGGTCCAGAATTTAAGGTGACAACTCTTCAGAGTTATATGTGTAACAGCTAGAGATGCTACACAAACACGCAGGACTGAATGCCTGTGTCTGCCAAAAACCAGCCTGCTAACAGTTCCAAGTTGAGTCAGAATTCTATTTAAAATTAAAGTATTTCCAGGAAAGATTTATTCTATGTTCATAGCTGTATTATTGTTGTGACACTTTAGATTTCTATTCTAACGTTTACCTAAAGAAGTAATCTGCAAGTACTGAAATGGGGTGTGCTGACTGTAAGCTCTCCTCACATCTCCAGTGGCATTGCAACATGCAGAAGGAAACAACAAGAGCTGCAGGTCCCCTGGGATAGGTTGCAGAGTTCCTAACTGTCAGCTAAACAAATGTAACCTCATGATTTGGATATGGAGAAGCTTGGTCTAGGAATGTGAGAAATAACTCATACCAGATGCCACAATGGCGTTTCCAGAGAAGTCACTTTAATGGTATAGTCACATTTTAAGCAGCTCTATTGCTTATTTCCCTGATCTCTTTCTCAGTGCTGTGGCAGAATGACTTCTTGTGGATTAATTTGTTAATAGGTAATCCCATTTAATGGGTATCTTTGCTGCAGGGCAGTCTTGGCTTCCCACCCGTTCACTTTGGAATGTTTATATTTAGCTATTTACTGGAAACACAGCTCCAGCTGCAGAACACAGCAATTATTTTGGATGGGTCTTTTTTTTCCTCAGGACATGTCTTTTTCTTGGTGTAGACTGAACAATCTTACTAGAAATATGTCAGTTTGCCTGAAGAGAGTTTTGAAGAATAAGTATGTTTAACTAGTATGGGTCCAGATCTGTTGTTAGATCTTGATGAGACTTGCAGCCATCCCATGCTGTTCTTTGTAACCCCTTTGGGTGTATATTGCTCTCATTAAAAATTGATTATTGTAAATATCAAAGGTATTCCAGGGCAATTTTAGTAACTAAAAGCTCCAGGGAGAAAAGATTCCAAGGTGTCTCAGTACATTCTGTCTCTCTAACATCCTGATGTTGAGATGCTTCTTCACTGTCTTTTAGGTTGGTGCTCTAATCTATACCATAGATGGACACTGAGTCTCATCTTCCATTCCAGTGGGTTCAGATCAGGCAACAACATAGTAATCCCTATGGAGATATTTTCTCCATATGTATTTCAATGGCTTTGACCCCTGCTGTGCTGAATGGCTTGCAGCAAGCTGTTGGTAGAGAGCTGATGAATGTAACCTGCCAGTTTTTATGATCTTTATGAGGCTTATGATCTTCAGTTTTCTTCTTTAACATACTTTGCTCAGCTATCACAGTACATTGTCCCACTGATGATGGCTAGTTTGCCACCTAGGACTTGATGCAGTATTTTTTTCAATCTAGGTGTAGGTTGCATGTGTATAGCTGGATGAAATACAACTAAATGTAGATGCTTTGAAAGATATTGCTCTTGCAAAATACTTGAAAGATGTTGTGGTGGCATAAACAAAAAAGATTGCTGGTTTAATTTTCCAAATGTAGATGTCTTCCTAGCAAAGAACATTGTATGGCCAAGCAGAATACAAAGAGCCTCTGCCCTAGAAGCAGCCTTGCTGAAGCAGGCAGAGCACATCCCAAGACTGGAAGGCAACTGGCCCTGTAGTTTTTCAAAGAGTGCCCACTAGCTAACAATTCAACATGAAAGTTGGTTAAAATCCCCAAGCTTGTATCTACTGAGTATTTTACACTTATGCTGGAGAAATAAAAGTGCTCTGTCTGTAACCTTGAAAATGAACAAAACCTGAATGTACTCCAGAAATAGCACACTATGCTCTATAGTCCATAACCCAGACATACTCATTGCTGCTGCTACTAAACCCTTGTGACAGGGAGTTTATGTACACTAAGAGTAGTGCTGCAGACTTCCTGTGACTCCTGCTTCTCCAGGAAGACCATAGTAAGCTGTTGCAGTCTCACTTGGGACATTAAGGGGAAGAGTTTCCTGTTAGGGACAGGATAATACCCCCTGACATACACAGCGTTTTCCTCTCACCCAAGTGTCCAAGAAGCACAGTTCATAAACACAGACAGCAGAAAGTCAACATTTGCTTTTCAAAAATTAACAGAACAAAAGTGGCTACAGGTCGAATTCTAAATCCTGCAGAAAGACATTATCTAGTTAAAACTCTGTATCAGAGAGCAGCAGTACCTTCCAGGCACAAAATTATACAGATAATGTTCCTGAATTGGATCAAGTCTACTTATTATCTGTTATCAGTCTTAACTAAGAGAACAGTGTTGCAATTAGGTTCTATCAAGTAAATTGAACATCAGACTTGCTTTATAAAGATGATTGCTAGAAATTTGATGGTACCTTATCTCCTTTCTTCAAAAAGTTAACGTGGGAGGGGAGTCAAGGCATTTGGGCTGAGCATCACAAACATCAGATTCAACCCTGTAAAACAATAATGGAAAATTCAGTGGGACCTAAAATTGGCCTGATGAAATGTTATTTTATCTCTTGCTGCAATATCTTTCTTGGTAGCTGTTGTATTTCTGAAGCCACATTTAAAATCCTGCAACGGAAGCACTGTGATAAAAAGAAATCTGTTTTGGTTACAAAGCAGCTGCAACATTTCAACAGCATCGCTTAAAAGTTATGAAATAGCCACTGATACTATTTGAAACAGCAAATCAGGGAAGCGATTTGCTTCATGTACCTTAATTTCTTTTCCTCATTTTATCATATCTGCTCCAGTGCAAAAAGCCAGATGGGTTATTCCCCTCCTAAGAAAAGCCAGATGCACTCTTTATATCTGCCAACACAAGCTTTGCCATAAGCAGAAAATAAATGTGTTTACTTCTAATGAAAACATTCAACAGATCCACCAAATAAAGTACTCCAACACCATTAATAACTGACCACTGTTAATAAAACACACTGGGGAAAGATAATATAAAATAATTCTAAGCTATTAATAACATGCACAAGATTCTTGTCTGATATTTCTTAATATTCTGTTTTCATTTATAAATGTCAAACACTGGGACTCTGACTACTTCCTATATATATACAGCTTGAACCCATATGTAGCAATAATTTACAGCAAGCATATCCAAATACTGCAAAAAGAATAAATGTGCTGCAGAACCTGGCAGGATGAATCCAAACCATGTGCTTAGGACCTTGGATTTACCATAATCCACTGTGCCTCCATGGACGCGAAAGTCCATTGCTCTGCTTTCCACAAAAGGGAGATTCCAGGCCATTTAATCATGAATTCCTGGGATGACTCTCTCTCCGTGTTTGTGGGATTTGTTTTTTAATTGTGTTTACATTCTTGTGTGTGGGTTGGGAATTTAGGTTTGTTTGTGATGAAACATCAAAGTTGAGTCCCAAATTAATACTGCGCGCTCGTGTATTCTTTGCACCTTCCCACAAGAGGACAATAGAAACACACATGGTGACCAACCTTTATGCAACATTAATGGGATTCAACTAACCTGTAAACCTTTGTGGGATGTGATTTTTGTTTAAACCATTCAATTTTGCTATTGTTATTTTCCCCATTGATTTCCTATTTTCTTTTTCAGATTTCACCAAAAAAGCTTTCTAAATCTTCATGTGAAAAAAAACCCTCAATGATTAATATTCTGTGAACATGAAAGCAGGTTTAATTGATATATCTCATTCTGTTTGTCAGAAAGTGGCATTTTAATCCTGACACATGCATTGCACAGGTATGTGACCCATAATCTTTCTCCACATAGCATCACAGCGGTGACTGTACAAATTACACCATCACACATGGGGAATTATCAGCAGCTAGGGCAGAGAAAAGCTCAAATTGAGGCTGCTGTATTTTTTCATAGAGTCTTCTCAGTTACCAAAAATTACACAAGTAATTTAGAACTAATAGAAGATAAGAAGTCCTCAAGTTCTGCAGAGCTTTGGTGTTTCAGAATCAATACAGTGAAGACCAGATTGTGGGGGTTGTAAGAGGTGCCAGTGAGCAGCTGAGCAGAGTGAGATTCTCAGCACAATGTTAACCAAAGTTGTAATTTGAGTGTTAACAGAGAAACTATTTCTCTTCCAAATACCAGGATGTTTTTCAGGCAAAATGTTTACATCTGAAGCAGCATAAGCTGCCATTCAGATTTACACAATGCATTAACTCTAGCACCACAATCCAGTGGAGCAATCAATTTATGCTTTCAGGCTGAATGTTCAGCTGTGGTTTGGGATCCTTCTTCACCAGGATCAGATTCATATTTAGCCACTTTGCTCTTTTAACTGCTTGCTTCTGTACTAGTAGGGAAGAATATAATCCACACGTAACCTCTGAATTACAAACTAGATCAGGGAACTCATCCATCTGTCTGAAAAAATGTATGCATTATTTTAAATATGGTCATATATTTTAAATAAAATATGTTTATAGAGATTTTCACCTGGTTTATTTTTTCAGATGGCTCAGCACGCTGACCTGGTTCACAGTCCAGCCACACAAAGAGCTGCAGACACAGCTAAGGGTTGGTGTACTGTGTTGCAAGCTCAGGAGCAAGGAGCAGGTAGGTAGGAACCAGTAATACAGCAAAAGCTTCATATCACCAAGCCACAGCCTTATTTACAATGTGGCTGCTTTTGCCTGGACTAGGATAGAAATTAATTTCAGTTCCTTACATTTGTGTTAGCTCTGCAAAAGAGACCTGTATCCTCCATGAGTCCATTTAGTAACCATGACTCAGTGGGATTCCTTTATTGCAAAGCCAAACCAAAATTCCAGCACACTTATACAATAAACTTTCACCATATCTTAATTATATATGGGCACACTGTCCACTCAGAAAACAGGTCATCGTGCACGATAAAAATCTCCAGCGAGTGCTAACTAGACAGAATTCCTAATTTTAATGATTAGCATCCATTTGAAATTTCCCTGGGGTTTGTCTTCCTAATACCCCAAGTTCACCCACACATTTCCTGTCCTCACCAACTGAGCTGCAGGCTGCACGAAAGAGAGAGACTGGTTCTACGCTAAGGTTTAAACCTCTCCCTCAAGAGTGCTCCAGTTCCACAGAGCTTAGCTTAAGCCTTTGCTTGTAAGTTCTGGCTTAATGAGTACAGGCTCTGGAGTGAGGTTGGCTGACAGCACAGGTACTCCCTGATGTCTCTGCACCAAGATCTAGTGCTTGTGTCTGAGTTGGCAGCTCATTTCCAGCCATCACATAGCTCCAGCCTGTCACTGGTTGGACTTGATGATAGAATCATAGAATAGTTAGGGTTGGAAAGGACCTTAAGATCATCTAGGTCCAACCCCCCTGCCTTGGGCAGGGACACCTCATACTAAACTGTCACCCAAAGCTGATGGCTGTGCTTGTGGTGAGGGAAGAGGCAGAGAGCGTGAGCAAGTACCTGTGCAAACAAGCACAAGAGCACATTGCTGAGGCACATGGGGAAGCTCTTCTTGTATCTACAATGAAGAGTGATCCAAGGCTCAGCACTCAACCACAAAACTGCATTCAGCATTGCTGCAGAGCATGCAGCTTTCCAAACACTTCATGCTGTGGTCACACTCAGGGTGTGCTTCTCTTCAAGGTCTTTTCCAACCTAGCTGATCCTATGTTTCTCTGACTGTTCTTCCTTCCCCAAACACGAGCTTAATTGTACAGACTGAGACCAGTCAAACACTTTATTGCTAAAGTATTCTTTAGTTCAGAGGGGTCTGAGGATGTGATGCCATCCACCCTTCCAACCATCTCAGCCATGGTGCTTCACAGGTAATCCTATCAAAGAAGTATGGGACACGTCCAAATGATCAGGTATCAGGTGTGTGCTAGTTCCACCTGCACTGCATATTACCTACGTTAATGTACAAAGGTTTCCTTCCTAACGAATCCTTCTCTAAAACGATGGTTTAATGTTCTTTTTCTTCTTTACTGGCAGAAATGTCCTCTTCTTTACTACTTCATGACTCCCTTGACTGCAGTAAGAGTACTTAGGGAGGTTGGACTAGATGACCTTTGAAGGTCCCTTCCAACCCCAACTATCCTATGACTCTACTTCCCAGGCTGGATGATGAACCAGAGAAGGGAATTATAATGCAGAAAGCACTGTTGTTGGGGTTTGGTTTTTCTTTGTTGGCAGTTGTCACTGCATGTACCCAAATGTGATGTGACACAAAGAAAGGCATGATATGCGTCATGATTTGACAGTCTGCTGGTTTGAAGCATGAGTGTTACAGAGAGCTGCCTGAATAGGAGCACTGGAAGCTGGACCTATTTACAGCTCACAGTAACACCACACAAGTTAGCACCTGGCTGCTTCCAGTGCTATCCCTTCTCTGGCTCTTACCAGGCACAAAGCAGTGTGAAGTGGCCCATTGCCACACAGCACCAGGGCACGGCATGGCTAATGGGCTCCCCAGTTCCCTACCCTTTTACAATCTGCCAACAAATTCAGTACAAGCACAAGCTGAATACTTCCAAACTGTTGCTATTTCTGTTTATCGCATGGAAGAGCGGCCAGAATGTAAATGTGAAATGTAATTTACCCTCAAATTCTGTGTTTTTTTTCCTCAGCCAGGTGAACTACAGTTTGCTCCTTGCACTGAGAACAGCATCAGGTTTTGGTTTTTGTTCTATTTTACAAGGGTTTTTTGGTCAGGCAGAGGTCTAAGGACAGCGGTAGGGCAGGAATCATCCCCGGGGTGAGCAGAATCACCTCAGAGAGCAAACGGAGGTGTCTCTAAAGGAGAGGAGCCACCGTTCCCCCACAGGACCAAGCTACCTGGGCTGACGAGCGGGGTCCTTTCCAGACGGGAGCTCCCAGCTCCTCTCCGCCGCGGCTCCCTCCCCTCACATCGCGGACCGGGGTGAGCGCGGCCCCGCCGCCCGCTGAGGTGACTCCGCGGGGCCCGGGCGGGCCCTGAGGCGAGCGGGAAGCCCAGGGCGGGAACGTGCCCCTGGCCGCCGCGGCGCCCCCTGGCGGGCCGGGAGCCGGGCTCCGGGGTGTGGGCGGCCCGAGGAGGAGGAGGAGGGGAGCGCGGTGAGGGCAGGGCCGAGCCGAGCTGAGCCGGGCCGGGCCGTGCCGTGCCGAGCGACACCTGGGCGGCTGCGCTGCCTCCTCCTCTCACGTAGGTTTCGACTTTCTTCCCCGCCCGGAAACTTGGTGGAAGGAGCCGCGCTCGCCGCTGTCGCAGGCCGGGTTGGCGCTGGGCTTCCCTCGCCTCCTCCTTCCCCTCCCCGCGGGCCAGCGAGCCGCGTCCCGCCCGCGGCGCCGGCAGGTGAGCGGGTTGTGTGAGGGGCGAGGGGTGCCCGGCGGCGCTGAGGGGCCGCGGAGGGCTGAGGAAGCGGCTGAGGGCTGCAGCTCTCGCCCGGGTCTCGCAACTGAGGGTTCCTCGGCCGTGACCGCGCTGGGCCGGGGAGCAGAGGGACGTGTTCTGTCGCTGTACGGGGCGGTAAGCGCCGGGCAGCGCAGGGGGAGGCTGCCCGCCCGTCCGGAGCCATTAACTCTTCAGGGGTCGGTCTTGCCCGGGCCTGCGCCGAACTCGGCGGTTTGGCCTCGGAGAGAAGCTATAGGGCAAAACTCGTGCTGTGAGGTGCGAAGTTGTCAAGTTTCTGGTGCTATGCTGGTGATTAATGCAGGAAAGACCATATAAATAGAAGCTGAGGTGACAGGCAAGGCAGAGGAATGCGACGATGTGGATGTTGTGGAAATGCCTTAAAGGTAAGAAATACAGGTGATGTTAAACATGAAGAGATCTGTAAGAGGCTCGGGAAGAAATGTTTAAGGGATACTACACGACCGGAATGCTCTCTGTTGAGTGCAGAAGTTGTTCATAAGGGGTTTATAGCGGGGTGAGGTGGTGTGCAGCCTAAAGGACGATCGCACCCCACTCTGCTGCTTGGTTGTGTGCACTTGACATCTCCCTGCTCCTGACATTGGCCTTGCTGTCTGATGGAAAGTGAGCAGAACAGGCAGCAGCCAGCTGATGCCAGCGCAGGAGGTGGCAGGGAGAGCGGGACAGCCCCTTTCGGTGGCACTATAGGCTTAGTTTGCTTTAAGCCATGCTTGAAAAGGCGGTTTTCAATTCCTTGAGTTATTTGTTTAATCCTGCTTTACCTTGATAAGGTAAGGAAAGGGAAGTGAGTATTCCCGTCGCTTACCAAGCAAAAGAGAGTTATACTTTCAGCTTCTCTCCAGTTTTTTAGCCCAGGCAAAAGGACCAGAACTGTATAAATGCCCCATAGGAAACATTATTCCAGCTCGAGTGCAGATAAGTGTTAGGGGAGATCTGTGCTGTACAAAGGGTAAGCTGGGCAGGGTCACACCAGACAAGCCTGTGGAGATAACAGGCACCCCAGGGAAGTATCTGTCACTGTCACACGGCCCCAGAGTTGTCCAGTCTAATCCTTTAGGCTCTGGAGGCTCCGGAGCAGCACAAGGTTTGGGTGGTGTGGGGTAGCTTAAAGAGCTGTAGTTATCCTCCCGCAGCATTGCCAGTTGTGTGCTGTGCCTTTGGGGGATGGCGCTGACGTTTGTCCTTGATGCTTGAAGGCCAGAGCTCTTTTGGCAGTTCTCCAACAAAGAGAATGCAGATTGTGCACATGGCTCCTTCAAAACAAATCTTCCTCTTAAGTTACATACTCAAACTCTTTTACAACATAACTAAGCAGATGTAGCCTGTCTGTTGCTGAGAGGGGCTAAGGCAATGGTAATGTTTATTCCCTCCCCCAAAGGGATTTGCTCCCTGAACCAGCTGACATCAGAACAGCACCAGTGCTTGTGGAGGGGAAAACAAAGAGGTCATATGGCTGAGGATGGAGCAGAAAAATGATAAACAGGAGGCCAACCTTTCATGGGGTTTTCTAGCTGTTGGAAAACTCAGCCCTGCTTCATTCACCTCATTTATGTGTCTGCTCTAGTATGCAAGCTTGGTGCATACGTAACTAATTTAAATAACGGAGATGCACTAGCATAAAACCCCAGTGAAATGAAATGGAGGGAAGGAGCTGTGGTGAGCAGTAAGAAGGAACCTCATCTACTGAAAGGCAAGTTTCTGTTAAAGTTTATAACCAAATGAATAGCGAGGGAAGGGAGCAAAGGTTAAGAAACAAACCCAACCATATGGCCTGGGGAATGAGAGCTGTAAGAGGTGGAAGAAACAGCTCCATAGGGGACCTGGCAGCTAAATGACCTCCAAAAAAACCCATGAAGTTCAAAGATACCTGATAAACAGGTTGAGGATTATTCTGGGTAACATTAGTGCTACCTGGATGGCAATTCCAGTAACTGCAGTTAGAAATTGTAATTAATGGTTTTGTAAACCATAGTCATGCTGTACTTCCCGAAGTGTGGCTAATAGATGAATTTAAACATGTTTATGAGATCTTAGACTTAATAGTATAGTAAGAATAAACTTGAAAGTATAAATATAACTGCAGAATAAAATATCTGTTGTTCGCAAAGCACCTCCCTGCTGTAATTTGTTTCTTTTCCTTGTTCATTGCCATATATTTCATGTTTTCTGCATTAAACTGCTATATTGATTTAACTTTGAAAATGAAGCTGCATCATTTCATTCTGCTCGTGTGTATTTTGCCAGAGTAGTCGCAGCTGTTATCTTACTCACAGGCCTGAGTATGTTTTGCTGGTTTAATACAAAACCCTCTTGTTTGGCTTTTCCTTCTCAGCTTACTTCAGTGGTGCTTGCTGTTCACCCAGTTGTTAGGAATTGCATTTGACAGTCCTGTCCCTTATCAGTTTATGTTTCCTGATTTATAACACGTAAAATGTTGCTCTCGGCTTAGAAATTTCTCAACACAAATTGAATTTGAAAATATGAAAATATCTGGCAATTTTTTCTGACACTTTGGGTAAGAAGTTGCCCGTGAGCCAGTGTCTCACAGACCATCTGAAGTGTTAGAGGGGATTTAGATGTACATGAGTAATAGGAATTACTATGCTGGTCCAGGAAAAAACACTTAAGGCTAGAAGGAGGGAAATGGAATAAAGCTGGAGGAATTTGACAAGACAATCAGCATCTTAACAGGCAAAGGCTGGTTTTACTTACATACAGTGATTCCCTGAGTCTAGAGGGTCTGTGCAAATCTTGTTTGAAGGCTGTAGTCTTCCTTATTTGGAATATTCTGGAAGGGAAGCACTGGAAGGGATTATGGATTTAAAAAAACGTGTTGCCTGGCTTTGTCTGTTCTGCCTGGGCCTTAACTCATAGTTTTGTAGGCAGCTGAGCAGACTCTCTTTAAAAGCTGATTTTCTGACAGTTAAAAAGGAGTTGAGATAAAACTTGATCTGCTCCTCTGAGAGTTTAAAGGGCTCCCCTGTGACATCAGTTGTGTTGTGGTTGTTGAAATTCCAGTAAATCATGATCAGCCCTATTTGTAAAGTTCCCAAACTTATTAACCTCACACCCCTAGACTCAATAAATGACAGATTCTCACCCAGTAAGCACTATTGCAGGTCTCTGAACAGAAAAGAAAGAAATAATTGGCAGAGTCCCTGCCCTGGGAAACTTAGATCTGAGGATATCCTCTTTGACATGATCTCAATTGGTAGTGGACAAAAATTGCCCTATGATTATTTCGAGTAGGATACCTAAAAATAACCATAATGGGTCTTTTGGGCCTTTTTGTACTTAGGATAAAAAAAGAGTTCCCTTTGAGGTTAACACCTGGGGCTACTTTACTCATAACCTCAGCAGGCTGAAAACTGAACAGAGAAAGGAGATTGCTTCCCCATTCCTGCTGAAACCATGACTTATCACGGGTGGCTGAGGAAGAATGTGGTTGCTGCATTGATTTGTGGCTAGTGGAAGGACTTTGGTCAGTTGTTCCAGCTCTTTTAACTGGTCAGGCAGCCATACCCATTTTAAGGTTATTTTTAGAACAAGAGAAAATATTAACTATCAATTTACACATACTGTAAATATGTGCCTAATAAGGTAAGATAGCAATGGTTCTTAAAGACCTGTTTCTGACACCGGCTTGGACACAGGTTTAAATCAGGGTAAGATTTGGTTGGGAAAGAAAAACGCCAACCCACAAAACAAATAATGCCTCTTGCAGTTTTGTTTTCCCCTAGTTGTGAGAGTTCAGACTAAAGTCAACAAGATACACCAGGAGAAACTGTATGATGAAAAGGCATCTTAAATTACATGTGCAACTGTTCTTAAGCCTATGAACAGTAATGCAGATGTCTTTAGCAGCAAAACGTGTCTCAGGTCTTTTAAAAATGAGCCATGGTTACTGTTCTGTAAATCTCTGGGGGAATGTAATTCTTAATCCAGAGCTTTTTTTGTTTTCTTTTAACTGCTTCTATAGTACTCACAAGCTGCTTTCTGTGGTGAAGGGTATTTCAGCTACTGGTTGCAGCAGCTCTGCCTGCCCACAGGCACCGGTGGGAGTTTTAAGCTAACTTCAAACTTAGCTGCATGCCACCCTCAGGAGCTGCATAAAGTAATTATTTGAGAAGACGTGGGCTAAGGGATTAAGTGTTGGGTTTTTTTGTTTAAATGGAGGTAACTTGTTTTCTTTCTTTCCCCTTTACCATGATCTGATGGCACGATGGAATGTTAAGGGGAATTACAGACTTAATTATCTTTTAATTGAGCTTTTTTAGTTAGTGGGAACAAGCTTGGGCTGGAAAGTACTCTGCCCTGGTTTTGATATAATGCCCTCTTACCCTGTGAAAGGAAGTCTGGGGTGTTAGGGTGATAGGCCCTGCTGCTGCTGATGGCATCAAGCATGGGCTGGGGCTGTCTGGAGCCGTTGAGAAAACAGAGCCAGGACTGGGGGAAATCTGATGGTCCCTCTAGAATAACACTCAGCTGTGCTGCATTTTTGTTACTGACCACTGGTTTTATTTTGCAGAGTTTAGATCCAAGTGCCTATTGATATAAAGGGATGCTGACATAGATTGTGCTAAACTCTAACTCAAAACAGAGCACCATTACAAAACATAGCGCTGTAACTGTAACTGAGACCAGAGTTTGCCTTGGTGTGGATAATAACAGTTCTGTGCTACTTTATCCAGCAGCAAAGCTCTAATCTGATGTTTCTGATGTTAGCAACTGTAAGTATCTGACTGTTGATAGGAAAGATTTCATCACCAGGTGCAAAACTCGGCTTTCATGCCGCTGGATTGCTTGTAGTAAAGTTATGTAGAACACAGTATTTGCAAAGGTGGTGTTTGTTTGGTCTTTTTTTAACTAATCTGGAAGATGAATTGTTTCATACTTAAGGTTGAGAATAGCCAAGGTTAATTTCTTTAAACTGAAATTAATTTTAATTAATTATAAAGTAACCCTTGATGGAGTGTGATAGAGGGTAAAGCTTTGTAGAACTTTCGCACAAGATAGGCAAGGCTTAGAGGTATATAAATACTGTATGTCTACCAAAAGCAAGTCTTTCTCTTCCCTTCTTCCCCCTTTCTCACATTAACATATGTATGATGATGACTGCCTTGGTAAGGATATTCCAACAATGACTTTTAAAATGATGCAGTTACATAATGCACAGTCTGCTTCTTCCTTTGTGTGCTTCAGAAATTCTCTGATAAGAAAGAGTCTGATTTATATTACAAATACAACACCCAGATCACTGAACAATGATTTACAGGTTTGCTTTCATCAGGCTACTGCAGGAGTAACAGCTATGAGGGCTGAGTAGTCATGGAGGCTTTTGCCCCAGACAAGCCTCTGCACATGC